TATATGGCGTAATTGGGTTGATTCGATTTAGAACACTATTGGAGACTTACGTTAATTTGATATTGGGTTTATAGAGCTTTTCATAGGCAAGGTATGATGAATCCACGCTAATACAACAAAACTGATAACACTGATTATACCTTCGAGATAGAATTTTAACTTTCGTTAAGTCTTAAATTTAGTCAATTAAGCCAAACTTATATTTAATAGATTTTAAGCTGCCGGATAATTAACGGTTAAATGAATAACCGTTCCATCTATACTATATATTACTATATATTTCGGATGGCCTAGTTCCCATTATGTTTATTAAAATTAACAAGAAAAATTTACTTTTTTTTCTAAACTATAGTATGCCTGTTGTACGTCGGAATGGAATTATTGTGGATTTAGAATCCATATGGGTTGATTTCGAATAAACAGAGATTAAAATAGAATTCTAAATTCTAAATTGTACTTGAGTTGTTAAAGAATTTAAATTCAACTTACAATAAAATTAAATGGATTCTAAATTATTTTTATCGAATATATTGTTTGGAATTTAAGTCATCTTAATATTTATTCATAATGTGGCATGTCACAAATTATTTAAACGTTAAAAGCGTAGATAAAATTTCACATTTATAGTTGGTTACTAGAATGTCAACTACTGTCCCAAGGCAAATTTTTTTACATTTACAATGAATTTATCACACGAATTTTGCATTTAACATTGCCTATTTGTGAAGAGGATTATTTCTAGAAGACTGATGATCGTTAAGGAGCACTATCCAACACTGAAACTTGTCGAGACCCAATGATTGAATTATAAGGTTGGTCAGTGCTTTAAGATCACGTATAGTAAATGTGTTTTTTTTTTTCCAATAGCGATCTTTGCATTCCCGATTATTGTATTTGCTGGATCTTGTAAATCTTAATACAGAAATCAAAGTCTTCACGTGTAATAAAGGTATTACATCGTTTACTAGGCGATTTGTTGCTAAGGTATTTAGAAAGCAGTTCACCAAATGCACTACGGATAGTCTTGAGATTCGATCATCAGATAAAAAGAATGAAAAGGGGTAGCATAATAAAAATTTTGACAATTTATTATAACGATAGGATATAATTTACTAAAATTATCATTGCATCAATCGAATATTCATTTATTATAGTATCGAATTCAGAATTATAGATCATTGCGTCAATTGAATATTCATTTATTATAATATCGAATTCAGAATTATAAATCATTGTGTCAATCGAATATTCATTTATTATAGTATCGAATTCAGAATTATAGTATCAAATTTAGAATCAAAGTTGCTTTTAGATTTCATATCTGATATCAACTTGAATTACACTTAGAATGCTTTTTCAACCAAAGTAGATTCTAAATCTACAATAATTCCATTTTGATGTACATGCCTTCCTGGCACTCTACCGCAGATTTATTTATTTATTTTTATTAATGGCTGCTTTCTTGAAATTGCAACTTCAGGCGCCTGAAATTGCATTGACTAAAATTAACCTCGAAATTAGATTTCCTAGCTAGTAATTTTAAAAAAAGTATGATTTCAGGCGCAACTTCAGGCTGATGCTAACTCCAAGCACAACACATCTATGTTTAAGGAAATACGTTGAAATTTGAATTCTGGTCTTCTGATGGCTGTATTCGGTCGATTTTTATACCTTACACCATTCAATTCCTCTTAAGTTATATACTATGAAAATCGAAATCACCAAATTCGACCATTGGGCCACGAGATATCTTTATTCACATAATACGATAAGAATATAATGAAAAATGGGTACGCATTTGACAAATTGAGACATGTATTAAGATATATCATAAACAAACGATTGGATTCAATCCCTTTCATTGCAGAGATGGTAAATGACCTGGTCATTTGATCATAATTTAAATGACCCCAAGTCATCAAATAATGACGAGGTCATTTGGATCATTAAGGTCATTTAGGTCATTTAAAATTTTATTGGTTGAATTACTTATATAAAAAGTTATCGAACTTTATTACTTTTCTAATCGATAATCGTAGCTATATATTAAAATTAAAATTTTACTAAATCAATTAATATTTATGCCTTAAGTAAAGTTGTTCGGAATAATAAATCGCGTGTATTTTGAAAATTCATGTAAATAGAATACCTTTTTATTAATTTACTTTCGCATATTACGTTTACACGAAAAAATTTAAAATTTTTCATATAAATGTAAGTTGCGGAAGAATTAATAAAAGGTGCAATTTATTATCCCGAACAACTTAAGGCATATTTTGATTTTGATATATAGCTACGATATTGAATATTATTTTTATAAAATTTAATTTTGCTTGTCGGCCAATACTGATTGGTTAAAAGATGTTAGAATATTAACTATCATACCTTCTAAGGTCATTTGGACCTTGAAATGACAAATGACTAGTCATTTATCAGGCATTATGTAGCGAGTAGGGGTGTGAGCGCAATGCCGTAATTGGTCGTAATTATAATGAATTACGGAATTTTTTGCCCGTAATTCATTATAATTACGACCAATTACGGCATTGCGCTCACGAGAGACATTAATTCGTTAAAATACACACTTTTCGTTATACGTGTAACCACTCGCCTCATATTTTCATATACAGTATACATTTGTAAACTTTTATCATAAATTAGTTTTTATTTACTGATAAATTTTTTGGAGGAAGTTTGGACTTGCCAGCGACTATACTTTCCGCACGTTGAGATGATCAAATTTTTTTATTTCCTTTTTTAGGGTCTATAATATGTGTGCACCCCTTACTTGCTCATCAAAGATTCACATCTTTAGATGATTCGTCAATCTTGCCCCGCATTAAAAACCCAAATAAGGCCTAACCCCGCACATAAACCTAATTAGAAGGTGGTTAAGGCGATGATATCGGGCTGTAAAATTACGTACCCGTATTTTCGCGGAATAACGCTCATCTGCGCGTTATTTTGAATATATACGCGTTATTTTTTGAGTATATACGCGTTATTTTGAGTACGCGCATGAGACAAATGTAAAAATTTTAAGCATCTTGTCTAAAACAAAAAAATGTTCCGGAGATAGGTTGATACTAAGTGAATCTAGTTCTGGAGCATTTGTTGTAAATAAGCCCTTACTATAAGATGTGCGTTATTTCGGGACGCGCATGGGCGTTATTTTGAAGCTATATATGTTATTTTTTTTAGGGGGCACAATTTTCGAAGAGCGTTATTCCGCGAAATACGATACAATTGGATTGGTATATTGTCATCATTAAACATTGGTTTATTTCCTAAACTACTGTATTATAAAAATATACTGTATTACAGTCAGTCACTCTCTATATAGTCACATCCACTTATAATCACACCAATTTTTAGAACAAACTTATATAAGCCATACAAACTTTAAGCACAGTTCTTTATAAGCACAGAATTTCCTGGAACGAAGGGCGTGACTATAGAGAGGTTTGACTGTATAACAAATAACAATAGTTTGAATAGACAGTCGTTATATCGAAGATCCTGCAGCTAATATGAAAGTATATACACTTTACAGAGAAATACATATCCATTTGATATGCAGTTATTGTGTATGACATAAATATACAGTATAAAAATGTTTTGTTATAATAAATGGCAACAATTTGCTATTGTTATCTATTCACAGTGTTAGTTTAAATTGAGAAAAACCTCGGTATTTTTATTAATAAGTTAATGTTGGCCAATTGGGCAAACTTGAAAAATTAGTCTTATAAATGAACTTACAAGTCAAATTAAAATATATAGTTGGACTTATAAAATGCCCGAAATTCGGTAAGTTGCATTACAATATTATGAAGTAAATAAGATTACAAACTAACGATAATACATCTAATTAAATATTTTTTGTTACCATATAATCATTGATTCTTAGAGTAAAACTATATAGTTTACAATTAGAAATCAATTCACCAGGAAATTGATTTCACCAATCATTGACCGCGCAGGCATTGATTGTTGCGTCGGTGCAAGTAGTAGTACATTTCCCGCCATTTTCTAAATCAAATGCCCATTTATGCCTAGTACAAAAAAGTTTCGATCCTATCACAATTCCCTTTGAAATATATAATGAGTTAGGACACCCTTAATTATCATATTCGCAATAAACTCAGTGTTTGATACCTACCTTTGCACCAAGGTCATCTTTAGCGTGTGGGCACCATCTATCAACTTCATAAATTTTGCCAGAGGCAGTTTTGATTTTCATCCTATCTCCAATCACTTTTTTGTTAGGCGGTGGCATGAAAAGTTTCGGACTATCAGAATTATCATAATTATTTTCATCAGGAATTTCGATTTTTCGAGAAATATAAGGATTATCAAGATTATTTTCATCAGAAATTTCGGTTTTTTGAGGAGTATAAGGAATGGGTTTTATAGTAAAACTGTTAGAATACATTTTCTTCGTATCTAATTCCACATTATTTACACTACTTTGAGGTTCTTCGTAAGGAATAGGTCCTAAAGTTGAGGTGGTATCAGCAGAAGTTTTAGCATAATTTAATCTTGCTTCATGTGTCGAGTGAATACCAAATCTTGCGGCTAAAGCATCAAAAGACATTTTTTTAGTTATATGCTTTTTTTTTCTAACATCTTCTTGATTTGTTGAATCTTTAAAAATTATTTGATTATTAGGTTCTCCAGTAATAGCTTCGCGACACAAATCTTTGACAATTGGCAGTAATTCTATAGCCTAAATATAAAAGAACAAGTTGTCGACGTATATAAGAAAATCAATACCAGTAATAATTAAATATCGAATAGATAATAACCTTCCAGCTCTCTTTTGATAATGTACGTAAGTCCCTTATTGTGAAAATTCGATTTTTTTTAAAAATTTGTATATCCGAATTCACTTGGTTTTCGGGCCAAGAATGTTCTATGCCTATTTGTCTAATCAAAATGTCAACATCCTAAAGATAATAAATTGATTATAAGATGATAGCATAAATTACGATTTATAGCATTTCAGGATCATATTTTCTGTGCAAAGGTAATAGAGATGGGAACAAACCGTGATAAGCAGGCTCGTGACAAAATCAAACTTGCCATATGATAAGTACGGTGCGATGTAATAAATCGAATTTATCACATAATATACATGATAAGTTCGATTTTAACACTATACCTCGTGCTTATCGCGTGACAAATTCGATTTTGTCATTTCAGTTCCAATCCCTAAAAGGTAATTTGAAATAATTAAGAAAACTCGTACCATATTATCAGGTAAAGCACTTCTGACAACTTCTTCCATGAAAAATAATGCAAAGTATATCAATGTTATTATACTAAATATCGAAAACAAAAAACTTGATGTTGCAACACTAAAAATTTGAAAAAAGCGCACCGGATTTTGATTTATTTTTTTTTAGCATGATTATTAAATATGTATCGGTATGTAATACGTAATGATAGATCGATAACGATAAATCGAGTTAGAATTCAGGTTTTTTGAAAGTACTTTTTTTTTTATACAGTCAACTCTGCTTATACCGATCTCTCCGAGCTTATAAATAAAACTGAACTTGCTTATAAAATTTATAAATGTTCAGTTTTTCCAAGTTCGATGTAGAGAGTTGACTGTATTAAGGAATTCCACTGAAAAAATAGGTCAACTGTAGGTAATTAATTCGTGTGTCAATGATTAAGGAAAACCAATTCAAAAATATGCTATTTATGTATTTTTTTTTTTTTTTTTTGTAATTATAACTTTCATACAACTCCGTATATTTTTCGAAGAACGTGATATCAGATGTGTGATCCTATGTTAATATGAATCGGATGTTCGCGGGGCAAACCATGTCAATCTTAGCTTTTAAATCTTTGTAACTCTAGATCAGAAACGATGATTTTCTGCCGATTAAAGATACACAATTGGAGATGTGTGTAAAATGTAGCCGATCCATTGGAGTAATTAGAAGTAGAATTAGTCCAAAATTGAGTATTCTAAACTTCCAAAAAAAAATATAATACATTTGAAATGCACTGTACATATAGTGCATGAGTGGCGCCAAGAGAAAACCAGACTACGAGCTATCAAGATTATTATTTATTATTTATTTATTAGACACAGGGGACTTAAATGATACGTACGTTAATTACTATTATCGTTATTATCGTTATATATGTTACCGGTCAGGGCTGAATCTAATAAATAATAAATAAGCTTGAAAGCACGAAGTCTGGTTTCCCCTTGGCGTTACTCACATTTTAAAGAGCAATGCATAATAATGCATAAGTAGAAATTAAACACATTACGTATTAAAACATCAACCACTTAAATCTTACAAAGAACAATTATTAAAATGTAATATGACGGTTAAGCTTTTTAATATTATGTAATCTTTTAAATGTAAGGCAAAAAATTTGTACGTATAATTTTAATACTGTGGCAGTCGAAAGTATTGCATCACATGGATTAAAACTTTTAAATTTGTAATATCTTTTTAATGGAAGTTATTTTAAAAATATATTTAAAAATATATTATTTACAAGATATCATGAGATGTTTGTAGTTTTATACATAGGAAGTTGCGAAGGTTTTATAAATAACAACGGTTTAAATTTAGCGATTGGCTCATTTTAATAAAGACATGATGGCGTTGTTGGACGATATTTGATTTTTTCGACTTCGTATTTATAACATTCGTGTAACCATATCGGAATCATTTCAATTTAAAAATTCATAGCCAATGAAATTTATCAAATGGACAAAAAATTTATAATAAACCTTTTGTTCTTTCCTAGTTTGGATGGTCTCTCGTGAACATCGGACACGAACAATTTCGAGATATACTGTACATACCAATTAAGATGCCCCTAGCTCTCCCACAAAAAATTGGTCACCTCTTGTAATTTTGACCAATTGAATTTCAAGATTAGGTGTAAAGTAAAAATCGAGAAACAAAAAAATAATAGCTCTAAATTTAATTAGGAAACGCCTTCTGCGGTCTAATTAAAACTGTTTCTTGTGAAATTTTACTAATATATGTCACATTATCCTAGTCCTAACCCTAACTATAACGCGGTTTTCTTTAATTTCACGCAACTTCTGAAAATCAAACATGTTTATTCATGTTTATTTTGACTTTCACGTTAACACCTGATCTTAAATTTGGGTTGGTCAAACTTTACGGGAGATGAACAATTTTTGTGGGAACGCTATCTAAAATACCAGATGAAAGGGATCGTTAAAGCGGGTTAACCAAAATTACATTTTTGATGAATTCAAAGTTGCCTTTTGACCTTTATATGAAATTAACCCTGCTTTAGTGAATCAGTGAATCTCTACTTAAAAATATAGATCAAGCTATGTGTTTAAAATTTTAACCCGAAACATCAAGAACATCTTGAAGCATATAAAGTGAACTTGGATTTTATAAAAAAATATATGCAAATATATTATGAAATTAATTCTAATAAGTTAAATATTATTTAAATTCATTTATTAAGTTATTTAATAATAGTTTAGCATGATAAAATGCGAAATATGCTATGTTTAACATGTATATTTTATATAAAGTTCTTTTAAAACTGTATTTAAAAAGATAAAATAATTTTATTTACTTTTTTATATAAAATAAGATTTTGGTTTTTGATACTGTAATATAAATATACTTATTAGTATATTAGCTAATTAGAGTATTAAATATATCGTAAAATCTCGAAATAGTGGGCATGGGCGTTATTTTGAAAATCGCGCCCCCTAAAAATAGCATATGTGGATTCAAAATAACGCCCATGCGCGTTCCAAAATAACGTGCACCCCGCTATTATGTATTTTGAAAAATACAGGTTCAAAAATAGGGATGTTAAAGAGTCCATTCAGCCAAACCCAGCCCGGTTCATAAAGAGTAAGGTCTAACTTAGTAGTTTAACATGCAATATAGATAATTTTGAAAGTAAATATTCATAGGATACGTATCATTTTAAAGAAAATTATTTTATAGACACCTTATTACATAGACAATCAATTTATAGACAAGTTTATTTTAAAGACAATTAATTCATAAACAGTTCAATTCATAGACAGCTTATTTGGCAGACAGTTTATTTTATGGACAATCTTTAAAAGAGATCCAGTGGTCTGTTTTGGATAATTTAATTGTCAAAATAATCGCCTTGGTAAGATGATTCTAACAAGTCTAAAATTACCCAAATCCAATCACTAAATCTCAAAATAATTAGAATTTTATATTGATTTAAATATTAACATTTGTAAAATAAATTATTTATAAAGTGAACTATCTGTAAATTAATTGTCTTTAAAATAAACTTGTCTATAAATTTATTTTTTATTAAATAAGGTATTAGTAAAATGATTTTTTGTAAAGTGATACATATCTATATTTATGATCTACTTTTAATAAATTTTATTTGAATTAATTTTGAATTGGTTTTAAATATTTGGTTCTAAATCTAGTTCAAACTAGTTTTTTGTAGACCATTTAGACTATTTAATATTTTTATTCAGAAAATTAGTTGATATATTCAAAATAGCATCTATAAATATATTTAAAATAGTATACAGATAGTCAAAATAGTATTTAGATGCCTACTATTTTAAAATTTTATGGTAAATTATATCTTTATTGTTTAAATTATAGTTAATATTAAAATTAATTTACAAGATTTTACTATTTTATATTATTATTTTTTTTACTTAGACAATCTTACCAGTATTATTTATTAAATAACAATTATATACAAAAATATAATTAGATAGAGTTCAAAAAAAAAATAACAAAACTCTTTCTGCTGATTATCAAAACACAAATTTTCAGAAAAACAATTTAACTAAAAACTACAAAAAATATACAAAAGTCTTTAGAAAATCAAACTTGAAGCTCTAAGGAAAGAGAAAGAGAATAACAAGAAACACCCAATCTCTTAAAGACTTAAGTTAAAAAAACAGAAGTGACAAAGAAATAGAAGAAGTCATAAAATATCATTAGTATTTTTTTGCACTTTGCAAAATTTGGGGAATCGACCTTGATTTTGAATTGCAAATCTGTTTTGATAATACAAGAATCACAACACATAATAAAAAATAAACAAAGAAAACATGACAAAAACCATGTGACAAACTCAAACAAAAACAACAAATGAATATAACAATTAACAACAACAAACAACAATGATAGAAAAACAACAAGTCATGTGGATATACTAGTAATAGAAAATTCTAAAATACATATATTGAGGCCAAAAGAAGCTGAAGCAATAGCAGAAGTGTATAATAATAAGACTGAAGAATATAATATAGAGTTTATCACAGAACAACTTAAAGCAGAATTTGCTGAAACAAAATTAATTACAAAAGAAGAAGCAAGAGTACAAATAAGGGCATTGTACAAAGAATAATAGCAATACAATGAAGATATTAGTCAGTATACAGGACTCAAACTTAAAACAAGAGAGAAGGTTGGTTTTTTAAAAGCAATAGAAAAAGGAGAAGACCCAGTTAAATATATCATACGTAAAAAAATAAAAGATATTATAACAGAACTAAGAACAGCTAATGTAATAAGAGAGATAGAAGAGATTGAAAAGAAACAGGTTGTCAAAATTAAAGAGTTGGAAAAGAAACAAGTTGCCAAAATAAAGTTGAAAATTGAATCTAGCTAGAGCAAGAGACTCGAAGAACAAAGGAGAAATCGACAAAAGCAGCACAACAAGATAGTTCTAAACTCATTAGTGTAACAATTTAAACAATTGGTCTAATCTGTCACAGAAAACCAATACAAAGAAAAAAAAAGAGTCAAAGAGAAAAAGATAAAATTGCAAGCCTAAAAAAGAACTAAAATAGCAGAAAAAATTTTGTACAAGAAAGAAAAACAAGCTGCTAGCAGTATAAAAACAAAAATAGAACTAGTTTGGCACAAGAGACTAGATAAACAGAGAAAAAAAAGACAAAAGCAGCAAAACAAAACAGTACTTAAGTCATTAATACAGCACTTCTTAGTAATCATCAGAGCATTCGAAATAAAGCATTTTTTAGAAAAAGAAATAATTAAAATAAAAGAATAGTAGTTACAATTCTAGCAAAAAGAAGCCTTGAAGTATTGTTAACAAAAACTAATAAAGAAAAAAAAACATCAAAGCAAAAAATCAAGGGTCAAAATAAAGAAGACCAAATAGAGAGAAAAGTTCTAAATAAGATTACAGAAGAATCAAGACCAATAATATCAAGAACAGTCATATTAGAAAAAAAAAGTTAGAAGATAGACAAACCAAGAATATCCAAAAAGATAT